ATATTTAAAGCCCTCGGTAAAGCTTTCAAAGTGGGAAGGAGTGATAACAAGAAATGACGATTATCATCATCTTCAGCTATTTCCATTCTCTCTCTGCTTTCTTTATTGCTCTCCAGAGCTTGGAAGATCTTTGCCTCCACTGGATGAAGTTTCCTCTTTGTCCCCAAATGCTGACTTCGTGAAGAAACTGTTTCAATAAGCGTTTCAGCTTCATTGGAAGGTCCAGAATTGTTATCGCTTACTTCACCTACTTCCAGATGTAAGGAAGTGGTAGTTTTGCATGCTAATACAGTATCCTGTAGAAGAGGCAGTTGTTCCGCGTACATATACGGTGTTTTCTTCCCAGCTGCACAACCAGATTTCCCTTTTCTTGCCTGTATTTCTCTGGTATATCAGTATCGCACGTTTTTCCACTTCTTGTGTCACTTGAAATGGAATTATTCAGGAGAAATTAATATATTATTAATTGATATGTTTTGAATAATTTCAGGTATCTGGCAACGGGATGCTCCCTGATGGACTTGCAGTATACATTCCGAGTGGGAAGATCAACAGCAGGGGCCATTGTTAGAGAAGTTTGTGAAGCAATATGGACATGTTTAGCCAATCATGCATTACCTAAGCTCTCTACAGAAAAATGGCTGGAAATAGCTGAGGGATATGAAAAGTATGCTAACTTTCCTCGTTGTTTAGGCGCAATCGATGGAAAGCACGTGTGAGTTGTGCAACCTCCAAATAGTGGTTCTATGTACTATAACCATAAAAACTGTCTCTCCATTGTGTTGTTTGCCTTGTGCGATGCTAATTATTTATTTACATACATAGACGTAGGATCATATGGGAAATTAGGTGATTCAGGAATATTAAAAAACTCGAAATTCTTTGAAAAGCTGTCTGATGGTTCGTTAGGAATTCCTCCACCAACGCCAATTACAGATTCATCTCTATATTATCCGTATGTCTCAGTTGGTGCCGAAGCCTTCCCATTGTCAACAAACTTACTTAGAACTTATGGTGGCAGGCATCTAACTGATACCAAGAAAACATTCAACTACAGACTCTCTGTTCTTACAGTTCTAATTGTTACGTGCCCCTGATTGGAGGCGCCACTCTCTTACAGTCGTCGTCGATGTACTTGTTGAGCGTCACGCTCTGACTGCTCCACAGTTGATCTACGTTGGTCTTCGGCCGCTGGCTGCTCGAATGCTACGGGCGACGACGGCTACAGCTGGCTTTACCCTGCTTCACTTATCCTACTTTCACACCTCTGGTCTTTAGGGGGATGGGTTTGGTTTGGGCGCCAGTAAACTGATACCATCAGTTTACAGATTTATGAAGGTGTGAAGGATTGATAAGGGTGTAGCTGTCGGGGTAGCTAGTTCCACCGGTAGAGCTAAGATTCTGACCTCAGGCCGTTTGGCAGGGTCTCGCTCAGGAAGGGAAGTGGGAACTCCTGTTACAACACACACACACTTTGTTCCACCAGACAATTTATTAAACTCTTGTCCCTAGTGGACCCCACTAACGTACTACATTCAACTTGTGTCCGGTGCGTTTGCGATCTTGAACCAGACTCCTTCCGATGACTTCTCTTTTAGAATTTGCGTCCTAATAGTTTTCGATCTTGAGTAAGACTCCTTGCAGAATTTGCGTCCGAATGGTTTGGGATTTTGAATAAGATTCCTTGCAGAATTTGCGTCCGAATGGTTTGCTATTTTGAATAAGACTCCTTTCAGAAATTGCGTCCGAATGGTTTGGGATTTTGAATAAGACTCCTTGCAGAATTTGCGTCCGAACGGTTTGGGATTTTGAGTAAGACTCCTTGCAGAATTTGCGTCCGAATGATTTGGGATTTTGAATAAGACTCCTTGCAGAATTTTCGTCCGAATGGTTCGGGATTTAAAATAAGACTCCTCGAATGCCTTCTCCTCGCAACCCTCGGAGTCGTCTCGGTCCACAAGTCAACTCCAGAAATTGCGAGGATTGGTCATTTTAAAAAAATGGGAGTACACTAATTAAGTATTCCCCCAATCCGTTTACGTATTACAGGGAATTTAGGAGCTAAAACTTAACGTAAAATCTGTCAGTAGTTTGACAAATGTTACGCTTGGCTTGGGGTTTGAAGACCACCCATCTTTTGAGTTATTGGTTCAAAACTGTCACTTATTGTGTTCGCCAAGGATTCAGACAAGTAAAAATTTTGTGTGACTTTCTAAAGAACCAAGCTGCCGGGGGGGGGTCTTCCTCTTTCGTTTCGCCTCTGCCTTGACCAGTCGTTTTTCTATTGTCTTTTTCATTGGAGAGTTTGGGCTAAAACTCCTTCTTGAGGGCAAGAAATAGCCTACGCACCTCTCGTCCATTTACTGTAGGTTATATGTAAACCTAAACGAACAGGTTGATTTACCCGGATCCAAACATTCTACTAAATTAAATCGAGCTGGGGTAGGCAGATCGGTTACACTGCCTTGTTCTCTTCTAACGGCGTGTCCTGTTCCTCAAATTTATTCAGTTTCTTCCCAAGGGATTTTCTTTTTTGTTTTGTCCATATGATCGCCATGCGTCATATCCCATATTGCTGGTCGGGCGTGGATGTCAATCCTATTCTCCATCATTCTGTCAAGAAAAAGTGGAATGAATTAGAAAACTGTGAGTAAATGTTTGTAAGCTTTTCGTATTGTATGTAAACAATGTTAAATATTTAATAATAAATTGTTCTTATTCCCGAAGGCTACTTATTTGGTTTTATTTTAATACAGTGGAACCTCGCTTAACGAGCACCTCTCATAACGAGCAAAACAAATTATAACAAAATGACTCGCTTAACGAGCGACGTTTCGCATAACGAGTGACGAGAGGGGAAGTCCCGGATTGTGCGCTTGCTACATCAGTCTGTGTTTAGCAGTCGTTCCGCTAGCATCTTAGTGTCGCTTGTGATCACACATTTTTCCAAACTTGTGTTCAGACATACTATTTGTGATTTTTTTTGTTCAAAGTTTAATAACCCTTGCAAAAATGTCCCTGAAGAAAAAGCAGCAAAAAGACAGCCATAAGAGAATAAAAATAACCGTAGAAATGAAACGTAAAATCATTGAAAAGCGAGAACGAGGTGTGAGCGTGGCTGATCTAGCACGCACATACAGTCGGTCTACATCAACGATTTGTATGATTTGGAGTTGCATTGTGTTTCACAGCAAGAAGTTGTGGAGGAGAGTTTGTCAGAGGAGGAGGAGGAGGAGGTAACAGCAAAGCAATAATCTTCTGGCGCAATAAGAGAAATGCTGAAAGCATGGGAAACTGTTGCATCGTACATTGGGAAGCATCACCCTAATAAGGCAGTGGCTATGAGCGCTACAAATTTATTTAATGATAATGCTGTGTCGCATTTTCACCAAATTTTGAAGCGTCGGCAAAAACAAATGTCTCTAGACAGCTTTCTAGTAAAAAAGAATTAGATATGTATCATAAATAATAAACTAATTATTTCGAATTTTTTTCTGCAAATCGAATTCGCATTCCAGGTTGGTTCATTCCGCACAGAAGAGAAGATGAAGATGATTCACGCTCCTTAACAATGTATATATAATTTTCTGTGAATAAACGTTATACATAAGATTTTTTTCTGCGTGGAACGCATTATTGTATTTTGCATTAATTTATATGGGAAAAACTGTTTAGTTTAACGAGCGTTTCGCATTACGAGTAAGATTCTGGAACGAATTATGCTCGTTAAGCGAGGTTCCACTGTACTCTATATTTCAGTAATTTTTCCATACGTATTATTGAATTTGAAAGGAAATTCATTCCATTACACATATATATTTTAATTTATATGAAATCTAATACAGGAATGCTTACCATTGTTCATTCGCCGCGTCAGAAACTGCTGAGAATGTATTAAATCTATGGAGCATGAGAGTGCACGAAGTCTTTAAACCGCTCGGTACACCACCAGCAGACGACATGCCGAGTCGGCAATTCTGCCGCCTGTCGGCGAGCCATGCAGTGTCTGTTTTATCCCATCTGATGCAATAGAACTACACGCCAACTCGACGGCCGAGTCGTACGCAGAATCGGGAAAAACCGCTCGGTGTGTCATCACTATACATGCAGTGTATTGGCAACAAATGCGACTGATTTGAGTGATGGCTAGCCTCAAGTCAAAGTCAAAGTCACATTGCGACTGACGGTCGGTCAGTCTGTCTTGGTCGTCTTGGTGTCGAGCCCCGGCTGGGGCTCATTCCAGATGATTCTTCTTATATGAAAGTTACTGTCTTGTCAAATAGGGGCGCTCTCTCTGACGAGAGGTGGGGTCTGTCATTTGGCAGTCATAGTCGGTAGTTTTCAGTCTCTTGTCAGTATGTACAGGTGTTTCCAATTATAATCTTAATTGCTGCTTCCATGTACAATATATACAAGGCCTCTCTGTCAGTCCAGGATCAGTACAGCAGACTATGCCCTATTTCTAGTAGTATTCGCTAACACGGCAGTCTAGTCACTTGAACGGCCGTATGCCTGACCGCCGCCAAATTTAAGCCTCTTAAACTTTCTGTGTCTGGCTTCGCCTTGTCCGATGTTGCGAACATTGTCACTATCATGATTTTGTATGACTTCTGCTTGTTGCCTGCATAATTTGTTATATAATCATATACGTACGGGATTTTCTGCCAAACTCCCAGGCAGGCGGGACTAGCATAAGTCATTACGGATCTAACAAGAGCTTTGTGGATGGTCAATTTAATGTTAGCGCTCAATCGCTCACTTTTGAATAGGGAACATACACTAATGAATGTTCTGATGGCCTTGGCTTCGATCATTTCTATGTTCAATCTCCATTGTAACTCTCTTTTCAAAGATTACACCTAGATATCTTGCACTATTTACAAATAGTAAATATCGGTAGGGTATAGAGACTGGTAGAATATCATAGAGGGAAGCACAATGGACCAGTACTGGCCTAAGTGCATGGGGAAACCCACCCTCTCCAATAACTAACTAACTAGGTGAACCAATGGTCGCCTCGGAAGTTACCTCAGGCATTCATTTGGTGTGACCCTTTGAGGGGGTTTGTCGTCTATGGTTTCGAGCAGAGCTTGAACTCTAGCCTCCACCCGCTGTTCATGGTTATCGTCGCACAGATCGTGCGGCGTGAACTGAATTCCCAAACAATCAGCAATTGCGTTGGCTTTTTCGAATGGGTGAAATTTAAGGCCTACAGCACCATGAAAAGCAGTTGGTGCCCATGAATGAATTCTGTCATTCCATTCTCTTATAAGCGCTCTGCACAGACCCCACAGAAAACACCGTCTCTATTGCCGATGACATCACAGCTTTCATAGCATGGTCCGATATGCGGAAATGTGTTTACCAAGCTGGTGCCTAGAAGCGGGTTGCATAACCCCGCTGTTCCACCTCTGCTCAGCTTGGACAGCATAGAAAACAAAGCTTCATCTATTTTTGTGTGCTGGACTCTATTTACAGAGCTGTTGCCTGGCAATGTGTTGATCAAATCTGTTACAATACCATGTAACTTGGCATATAGGTACCAATATTCAAGAAGAAACTGCTGCCTTCATGTTCAAGGTAACCAAGTAGACTTTAATTTTAATGCTCAATGCTGTGAGAAGCTCTAAATTCATATATTACATTTCAATTTATCAGCCATGAGATTATTCTATTATTTACGTTTTATTTAATGAAACAGTGAGTAGTTCAGACTATACAGAATTGAATGGTAGGATGAAAAGTGAATAATAAATTGGAATAGATGTGGAATGGAAATGGTCATGACAAAATTTGAGGTATTATTTCAGCAGTTCTATGGATGAACTGAGCAAAAAGACTGTTCAGGGTAGTTTTTCCTGGTTGTGGTTTGAAGTGGGCAACTCCTTATCTTCACTAACCGATTCACTCGTTGTTAACTTAATAAATAAGAATTCTAATTGTGACAAAGCATAATTTTCGTTTCAATTATGTAGTGGTAATGATATCATCATCTTATATTGTAGTGATTCCAAAACCGTGTTCTCAAGGGGTTTCAATATTACATTTTTCTCTTTTAGTATTTATTAAAACATAAACTTTATTTTATATTCAAATTACATATATGTATATTGAGTTCTTTCCGAGATTGATGATCTATTCTCTACTAGATATCTTCAGTTTCTTCATAAAGAAATCATGATAATTTACAACTTAAACAGATAGAGGTGGTGTTATGAAGACATTATTCTGATGAACAGTGTTTCTTAGCAAAATAAGGTAATACAGCAGCAGTCTCTGTAAGAACATAGAACAAATTTACACAGTGAAGGAAGTAACACAACAAAAAGTTGTTTCTTGGTTCCTTGATTTGTTCAATAATGGTTTAATAACTGCCTAGACTATTTAGCGTCAGAATGTATTCTTGCACAGACAGAAAGGAGGGAAACAAAAGCAAACGAACAGAACATTAAATCCAAAGATACCTGATTCCATCAAGCTCCATGAAACAGAAAACTTTTGAGAAGCAGTAGTCAGTTAGCTGGTCAGGAAATTATGGAAATCAAAAATTTTTATTAATACATGTTCTCAAGGGATCAATATCCTGCATCACATGAACCCAGTACACAATCTTACATCCTTAAAAAAAATGTTAACTTCCTTACTTTGTAATAAGCCATAAATGAAATTCATCTTAATGAAGATGTAATAATTTGGTGTCTGGTCAGTGCTATTGCACAGCTTGTGGGATGGTGATAGATGAGTATAGAACAGTAGTGGAATGACAATTACCTGAGAAATACTTTAGAAATATGGAAAAGTATCTGCTCCAGTGTCATTTCATGCAACATGGATCTCATATGAAGTCACTTGGGATTGAACTGAGACCTCTGTAATGAGAAGCTGGCATCTAATTTCCTTAGATATGGCATGGCCAAACATCCTTATATCATATTTCTTTAAAATCCAATGTAATGTTATTGTACTTCTTTTGGCTTGTTTTGGACTTCATCCAGTGTCTGGTATATCTTTTACATACCAGATGATGGATGAAGTCCAAAACAAGACAAAAGAAGTACAGTATACAGCATCGTCAGAATCCTTTCAAGTCTATCTGTAATGTTATTCTCTCCCAAGTTATTTCTTCATTTAAAGTTTTCTGATTAAGTTTTTTGTATGTTTTCCATTTTGTGTAAGTGCACATGCATGCATGATCATGTACACCTCTCTGTGTGTGTATGTGTATTAGTACGGTTTGTGTGCACTGTATGAACACATACTACCTACTCTACCGAACTCATCCCCCTAATAATATTCAGTGAAAAGTACAAATTATGGAATTCCTCAAAATTATGATACCCAGAAAAGTTCTGTTTATATTCAGCCACATTATCTAGTCAGTATTCATCATAATAATATTCTGAGCTACACGAACCTTGAGAAAAGTGGTTGTATATTCTTCATTTATTTAAAGACACTTTTATCTGTTTCAAGTATATAGCTCTGAATAATGGTATTATTTGTGAATAACGAATTTGATAAACCTCAGGTCAAGATTTGAACATGCAACCTTCCAGATAACATGCAGGAGTGCTGACCATTCAACCACAACATTGGCAAAAATTGTCTTAGAATGCTGATACTCTGTAAATGACAAGGGAAAAAGTTAATCCTCCCTTACAAATCATTAAAGTAAGTTCCTCTCACACTAATATATTCATAGAATTATTTACAGTTCTAATCAGAGGATATAAACATTGAGTTAGACAGAACTACATGTGTTAAAGATTAAGATTATTATTTTAGAGGCTACTGAAAATGAATCACTGTTCAGGTGCACCAAGTCAAGGAACTTGATGGAACAGGAGGAATCTACTCATATTTATGCTAAGTTCTCGCTGTGATAACATATAGCAGACTGACACTTACCTGTCTTCTCACTTCAGAAAGTGTTATGAAAATTCATCATGAGTTGGGTTATTGTAAACTGACACTGGTGATTTGTACAGTGGATTTGTGTCCTTTAAGTAAATAATAAATGTTAACAATACATTTTCTGGTATGCTATAATATGTAAAAAAGTCATACTGCTGTCATATGACTAATTCCTTGGAACATCATCCATCCAGCTGTCACTACAGACCCTGCCATTGACTCACAAGCCAATATAGTCTTCCAGTTACATCTTTACAGGTCATTTTTCTATGATCAATTCCAGCATTATCTTCTTTTCTGCACCATTGTATCAGACAAGAAATCCCACAACTAACTAGCTCAACCAATACTGGTATGCAGTACTGAAGAGAACTGGAAATATTGTTATCTGAAGGTTGACAGCATGGCAGTGCACTCTCATGTGATCATACATGTGTTGACTTTGCATAAATTCAGAATATTTTGACTCTGCCAAGCACTAGATCCTTGATTAAGATATTAGATAGGGACTTCAAAGAACTAGTATATTCCATTAAATACTAATGGTATCCTCATGAATGAAGCTGCCTTTTTTCCACTGCAGCCAAAGAACAGGACTGGAGGTTCTATTTTGTCCAATTAAATTTAATATCTGAGAATGGGGAAATGGGTGCTGAGGAAAATATATGGACCTGAGAAAGAGGAAATATCACGAAGTCTGAAAAAGTTGCATAATGAGAAGTTTCGTAATTTGTACTCCTGGAAAAATATTATTAGTGCGATAGAATCAAGGATGATAACACGGGCAGTGCTTATAAGCTTACATGGGAAAGGGTTGAATATACAATTTTGGTTGGTAACAAAAACGGAAGAGGCAACTTAGGATATCTACATGTAGACTGGCGGATAATATAAAATTAGTCTTTAAGAAAGAGAGTGTCAGAATATGGACTGCATTAATTTGGTCCAGAATAAGGTCCAGCAATGGCCACTTTGTGAGTGTGGTAATGACCTTCAGGTCTATACAATGTGGGAAATATTTTGACAAATGGAGGGTCCAGTAGCTTCTCAAGAAGGACTGCTCCATGGAATTAGCTAAGCTGAGAAACTGCAGTTACGAGTTTTAAGATTTCTGGTGGAGAACAGGAGAGTACCTTTGTTTGAGGTATTAGGTGTAACATCTGTTTGGCTCTCAGTAATTATAACCTACGAAGTCACTGAATTTCAGCAGGTGAATCTAAGTGTAGATATTGTCTTGTGATTGCTAGGCAATGCAATAAGAAATTGTGTGGGTTCTCAGAGTTGAACAAATACCTTCAGTGGAGAGCCACTTTTACACTCACACTTATGGTTTTTCTCCACTTGTAACGTCATTTAGATGTTTCTTCTCCAATGTTACAACACTTCTGCTCTAGTCAGATAAGAACTCTTCTGTTCTAGTCAGATAAGAACTCTTTCCTACTAAAGTCCAATACAAACTGAACTAGTCTGTTGTTGACATTGGCCTGTTATAACTTTCCCTCAGACTGAATGGGGAATACCTTGTTGAGGGGTTAATTTCTCCCGCTGCTACGCAATGAACATGGGAATACGTGTCTGCCTCAAACAATTCATTTGTAACAGTGGAAACACCACTATTAGACTTTCATTTCTGGAGCAACAATTTTCTAGGCTTCGCTGTCTAGGAATTGCTATGTCCGATTCTTCTATAACACCCTGTCGTCGCATGTTGTCAAGCATTTATCCCACTTCTGCTTGTTTTGCCAGGGGTTTTCTCCTTGGTGGCTGTCGAATTGGTTGGGCGTCTCCTGTATCTATGCAGTGATATAATTGGTTTGTCCTTCTATAATCTTCGTTGTCTTTTGCAAAGATGTCTGCGTACTTGGCCATGAGTTCCTCCAATTCCTGAAATTCTCCATTGATTAGGTGTGGCCTGGCTGCTGTTATTACGTCTTATACTTTTGAGCTTAGGTTAGGTGCCTGTGTTTGCCCCCACTTCGGGTGAAGTCATTACTACAGTCAGTTTTATCACCCTTCTTGTGCACTGGTACAATAATAGACTCCTTTCACTAATCAGGCATTTTTTCCTTATGCCAAATAGAAGTAATTTGATTGTGGATCTTAGACTGTAATATTTCTCCTCCTGCTTGAATAAGTTCTGCTGGAATCTGATCACTACCTGGCGATTTTTCTGTGTCCTTGTTGTTAATAGGCAGCGGTAAGCAGCGGCAAAATGTTGGTCACCAAAATGGTCTTCTATTGTCTGAAGGGTATTAAGACGTATTTGTCAGAATGCCGGGTAGCACGTCTGCCGCTCGGCCCTTCAGAGCGGTGATTAGGTATGTCGATTTCTCCCGGTCCGACGAATAGTTGCGCTCTGCTACGATATCGAACTGTCGTCGGAACACGCTCCACGATGCATTTCCGTTGAATGTCGGTGTCTGAGCTGTGCCCTCATCGACCGTTGATGTGTTTCCCTGCCCGGTCCTCGTCTGTACTACTTTCAACCGAGCCTGGAACTCGCGTTTAGTTTCTTCAATTGCTTCACAGGTTTGATTATAGGTTTTTGTTAGGTCTTCTTGGAATTTCCTTGTACGTGCGTCGAGGGACTCTTCTGCTGTCTCTAATTCCATCTTAGTTTTTTCTATAGTCTCCGTGAATTCCTTAAGGCTGATGTATGTCCTGGCCTAATTCGCCATCT